GAGTGGAGAGCAAGTTTTGATGGCTCACACTTTTTCTATTTTGGTTAAACAAAACTACGTATGCATGCATGGATATTTGGCTTGTTTGGTTATTTAGAGTAAAGAAAGGGAGTGGAAAGCGTGTGATACAAAGTTCTTGCAAGCAGTCTCACCTCAAAAATGATCCAAATGCAACAATCTCAAAGTTAGCAACATTAAGAAACAAGGAGCCTGTGACTTTATTATGCTCTTCTCACAGCCAAAACTCAATGAGCTTTTGACCAAATGACCCAAACTTGAGATCATTGGAAAGAGGAAGGGAAAATCTTCACATTTCATGTTTAAAGGATTTTGAATTGAAGCTTGGAAGACCTTGTAAAGATCCACGAAAGTCAGCCTCTTGTGACTGATAAAAAACATCACAAAAATTCTGCTAAGTGTTTAACAATATGGTGATCAACCTCTTGATTTTGAGACATCTCCTCTTGTAATTATGTGGACCAAATGAGAAACTTTTTGAAGCATTAGAAAGAAGGAAAACTACTCTACATCTTTGATGTTGGTTGCAACTCAAAATTAAGCTTCAATCATAGAGAAAAGTTGCTTGTAAAACATGATGATGATGAAGTTGATTCAGAATTTCTAAGCACCAATGTCCCAATTTGAATGAACACCTCTCTTCTTGCTCAAGTATCTTGCATCCATGGGCTTTTTAGAAAATCACTCATTAGGGCAAAGTTGTTGTAAGAAACTCCCCCCTTCAATTTGATTATGAGTTTGCAAATATCTGATCACAAATGAATGAGATACAAAGCTTGAAAGATGGTAAGATGATTACAAATTTTCCAATACTTAGAAAAATTTCTAAGTCCCAAAGATAACTCCTTTTGCGAGAAATCTCAAAATTGACCATTTCCTTTTACTTTCTTCAACCAATGACCATATTTTCTCAAATTTTGGACTTTAACCTCAATTTTGACCAAAATATCCTTTGGTCAAACTTTGACTTTTCTGTTGACTTTTGATCAGATGTATTCAAATCGCATTCTTTCCAATTCAATTGAACCCTCTGATAAGTTGTGATGATCAATAAGCCACACATAGATTCCTTGAGGAGTATTATGGATCATGAAATCTTGATTTGCTCAGAAAGCCAACTACAAATTGACTTTGACCAAAACACTAGTTAACAGTCAAAAAGTTAAGAGGTGGTGACCAATCCTCAAAACCCAATTATTTTGGGGAAGCTTGAGAATCTATTGAACAAATATTTCTTGTGTATTGAGATGATGTTTATGATGATGAGGTTTTAAAATTCTAGCCCTCTGAGTACCAATTCTTCTTTGAGTGATGAACAGTCACACAATCAAAACCCTTGATCCCACAACAAAAGAACCAATGAGATGCATATGTATGAATGAAAATAAAGCATAAGTCTATTTAAGATTGAAAATAGAAGAGGTCAATTTTTGGGGTGCAACACCCATAAATCAACACGAGTCTTTTCAGCATGCTTTGACCTCACTCGCACACTTTTCGAGTGAAATTTTGGTATACGTTAGAACTCGTATGTCCTAAGAGGATGTCGAGACATCTAATCTAACACAAATAACATATGCAATGTATAAACATTAAAAACAGTAGTGAAAAGCAATAACAACACACCAGAATTGTTAACCTAGTTCGGAGAAACTCTCCTACTCTGGGAGCATACCAAGCCAGGGACAAATTCACTAGTAGTAGTAGTATCAATTCAAAGTTAAACTCCCCCATTTATAACTTATCACTTAATCACTATCCTCACTATATTTTTATCTAAGACTCACCTAGATATGAGGCCCTCATCAATCATAGATAGTGATTGGATCAACACAATTCTGAACAAACCAAAAGACACACTTCCATGACCATACCTAGCTAAGACTCAAGGTTAAACTTCCACGTTTACAACCTTTCTCCTAACCAAGAAAAACAACTTGGAGTTGCTACAAAGCTTCCTCCAAGAATAATACTCAACTCATTACCTACAGGTTTCTGAGTGAGAACATGGTGACCATCCCACAACCCAAGTGGTTCACCTTGACAAAGCCCTAGACTTCTACATCTTGAACCCGTGCCAAACTAGGTTACAAACCGTTCTATTTATAACTTATTCCCAACTAGACTTGGGCTTTCTAATAACAGCAAATTAACTGTTACAAACCAGCAGTAACTTTTGCTACAAATAAGGTGTTCAATCATTAGTTTCCTAAATAATCTCCATATTTAGAAACTGTATAGTCTTAGATATTCTGACTTGACTCTCTTAACCTTTAATTCAGCACCACATGGGATTACATAATATTCCTTGAATATTCTGTATTTGTTAAATCATAACATATTTAACAGAATCACTTCAGCTCAAGTGCGATTTTGTATGCTCCTTCGTATGACATCTTATTCGACATGTTGTTCCAGATGTTGAAACAGTTCAACTCAACATGTCCCAAACATAATATATGACTTCTTGCTCAACTTGTTTCTGTTAGAAAATTAATATATCATATCTAACATATTGTTGCTTTATTTGTTTTACAAAAATTAATGTCAATCCTAAAACTACAGAACTTACACCAAGAAACTTCCCAGAAGGTCACCCGTCTCAAGATTGCTCCAAGCTAAGCACACTTAACTGTGCAGTTCTTATGGAACGGGCTACCAAAATAAAGATGCATCTTATTGGTATAGGTAGTGCCTATCAATCTTTATAAGACATCCTTCAACCATGCAGTCCCTTCCCTACACAATCTCAGGATCCCTCTCTTTTCAATGTGGAGACCACTCTTCACCATAGAGTGTTACATATGGTGCAATCACCCTCCTCCCTCTTCGGCCTCAAGTGTTACATTTCCACCAGCTTCTGCATGGTTCGTCCCTGAACAACATCGTACTGAGAGAAGTCTGGCTCTGACACCATGAATGCATGCGATATATTATGTATACAACACAACAATACGCACAAAGACCTTCACCATAGTCCATGAGCCTCTCCACTATTGGCCACCATACACCAAACACCTGGCAAAACATGCAACAACAACAACAAACAAACGATATAGCAAACAATCACAATGCATTTGCACATGTTTCGCAAAATAACATAACTCGTTACACACCAAACATATTTCCATGCGTCAAATAATTAGAATTCTTGTAAATAAATTAATTGTAAGTCAAATTACACTAATCTGGATTCACAAAGATTTGAACGGTGCATCAACCAGACACTCACAACTCAAGATACAAATTTATAAAGTTTTTAGAAAATACAAACTCCGACATCATACCGCATCATATACTGAAACCACAAAATCTCATTACACACCAATTAATTTTAATTACAAAAACATAAAACTATTTTTACAAGAAAATACACTGTATTATAGTTCCACAAGTTCAAACGGCGCATCAAACGGACACCCGAAGCTCAAGTTATGAATTTTTGAAATTTTATAAAAATGCTGTCAAAACTGATGGAAATCGATTTCCCCTTTTTAGGAAATCAATTTCCTCCACTCTAGAAGCCAGTTCTCCCAACTTTCGAACTGGAAATCTATTTCCCAAAAGGTGGAAATCGATTTGCACTACCCAAAATCCAATTTTTTTTAAAAATGCATGTGGAAATCGATTTCCAATGTGGTAGAAGCAGTTTTCTGCTGTTTCAAAGTACGAAAATTAGTTTTTCTCCACACCCAAACACCCTTAACTATCACACGATGCACAATTCAGATTCCAAGTTTCAACTCCTATTCATATGCCTCATTAGCAACATTCTAATTTATCAAAACACACATAAACACATGAAATCACACAATTAAATCACACCAATTTACATCAACACAAACATACAATTTCTCATTATCAATTGTACCCAATATCACCATTGAAGGTTTATCACATGTGGTAGAATTAAGTTCTAACAAGTAATTAACCCCTACCCACAAATTATTATACAGTCTATTAGATAATCAGAATCTCACCCTTACCTTAGAGTTCTTGCAATTCTTCTATCTCTCGACAATGATGGTTGTCTCCTTCTCTTGAGCCCTAGCTTCTCTTCTCACTTTTTCTTATTTCATGTTTTGACACTTTTTTATTCCTAAAAATCCTTTTATTATTTTATTCCCCTTAATAATAATACCCTTTTATTTATTTAATTAAATTAAATAGTACCTATATATGTATTATTTAAACAATTAATAATTAATCAATATTACTAATTAGTTCAACTCACCACACCTCGTATCTCTACACTATTACTCACACATCCCCAACTCCAAAGACTATTTTTTTTTGAAGTTACCACCCTATACTCAAGGGCCCTCTAATACACAAAAATATCAATCATACAATAAGATCATTCATTATCACATAATTATATCATGAAACTAATTTAAATTAAATCAGGGTGTTATAACATGCAAAATTTATAATTTGTTGGGGAGCACGGTTATGGATGATGTACCTGATAATAATGCAACAAAATTGGGTGACATGCACTTGGGACACCTCAGTGAGCATGGGAGATGGAACTGCATAAGAGAAATTTATTGAAGGGTGTTTGTAATTGCACAATTGAATTGTGCAAGTATTATGTTCTTGAGAAATAGAGTAGAGATCGTTTCAAGACTGGACAACACAAGATCAAAGAAATCTTAGACTATGTTCATTCTGATGTCTGGTGGCCTACAAAAGAGCCATATGTTGGAGGTTTCAGGTACTCTGTAACATTCATTGATGATTTTTCTCGTATGTTCTAGATTTATTTTATGAAATATAAATATGGTGTCTTTGCCAAGTTTAAATTGTGAAAGGCAGAGGTTGAGAATTAGATAGGGAGAAAATTAGAGAATTTACGGTCTGATAATGGAACTGAATACACTGACAAGAAGTTTATACATTTTTGTGAGGACAATAGAATCCTTAGAAACTTTTTTGTGAGGAAGAAATCACATTAGAATGGTGCTACAGAGAGGATGAACATGACTCTGATGGAGAAGGAAAGATGTCTTCGGTTGAATGATAGACTTTCAAAAGGTTTATGGGCAATTACACTCAATATGGCATGCCATCTAGTCAACAGATCACCACAAACTTCATTGGATAGAAAAGTTACAGAGGAGGTGTGGACATGTAACCCTATTGATCTGAACAATTTAATGATCTTTGGGTGTCCATCATTTATGCATATTTTCAGTGAGGATCGTTCTAAACTTGACCCAAGTCAAAACAATGCATCTTCATTGGCTATAATAAAGGTGTGAATGGGGTACAAGTTATGAGATCTGAATAACAAAAAGGTGGTTACCCGAAGAGATGTTGTACTCGATGAGCAGTCGATGTTGAAACACTCAAATGTGATAGTTGTGTCAGATACTTAGGTAGAAAATTCCAGTCAGGATAAATTTTAGATGGACACTGAGGAGCCACTAGAGAGTTCAAGGCAGATTGTAACCATCAATAGGATGAATTAGGCTCAGATTTAACCAGAGTGCAAGATTATAGTTGAGTACAAAATTATACACTTATATGTGATAGAGAGTCTTGTCGTATTACACATTCAGTGAGATATGAGCATGAAGACTTAGCAGCATATGCCCTTTTTACCATTTCAGGAGACCCTTTTACTTTTCGAGAGGTTGTATCTAGCCAAGAGAAATATAAGTGGATGAGTGTTATGGTGAAGGAGATGGAGTCCTTGAAAAAGAATGAGACATGGGATCTTATTCAACTTCTACATGGAAAGAGAGTTATTGATTGCAATGGATGTACACGAAAAATCCACCAATAACAGAAAAAGAAGGAGAAAAGTTCAAGGCTCATCTAGTTGCAAAGGATTATTCACAACATAAGGGGGTTGATTATGATTGTTAGACACACTTCTATCAGGGCAGTATTGGTCCTGGTAGCCAACAGAGATATGCATTTAGAGGATATAGATGTGAGAGCGGATGTCCTTCATGGTAATCTAGAGGAGCAATTCTACATGGAGCAGCCAGAAAGTTTTAGTGATCTGGACATGGTAGACTTGTTTGCAAATTGAATATGTCTTTGTATGGCTTGAAGCAGTCTTCAAGGCAGTGGTACAAGCACTTTAATTCATACATGCTCCAGATTGGCTATAGAAGGCGTGAATATGATTGTTGTGTTTATGTGATGAGCCTTGATGATGATTCTTTTATGTTCTTCTTACTTCATGTTGCCAATCATTTACATGATGTAAATGAGTTAAAGACCGAATTAGATTAAAAAAATATATTATATGAAGAATCTGAGTGCTACAAAGAAATCTGAACTATAATTGCTCTATAATCACATAATAGACAATTTAACTTAACTGCATGAATAAATTTTTTGTGTATTTCACACTACTCTAATTTGTATTCGCAAACTTATTCTAATATGAACTCATATCAATTACACCAAAAGAGCCTTTATCTTATCATCAAACTAAAACAACTTAATAATATTAAAAATAAATATTAATTTATATAAAAAAAAAGTTTGTTTATATCAATTTTCTAAACTCTCAAAAATCCGTTGTCTTTAGTCAAATTTTTACGTTATAAAAAACTTTGTTCATAGCAATTTCTTTTATAAAATTCTCCCCAAAAGGTCAACACTACAAAGATCTATATATTTATAGACTATTATCTTATACAAATATTTATTTTATTGAAACATTAAATGTAAATTACATGAGTGGATTGATGTTAGCTTAACATCTTAACATATATCCCTTACCAGTTTACGTGGCAGCTCGAAAAAACACTTTGTTGCCACCTATACATCATGCACTGTCTTCAAAAGTTCAACACTAGAAGTTTCCTTTCATTTCACAGGCACTTCTTCTTTGTCTCCTGCATTTCTCTCTTTCCACACTGTAAGTATTTCCACCATCCAAACCCCTCTTTTGTTTACTTCCTTTTTAATCTTTGCCTTTATAGTTTTCAATATCCAATTTCTTACTGCAATTATGGATCATATTTCAACTCTATGCATGTTGATGATTGATGATTTGTTTTATAGTTTTTTTTTTTTGCAAATTTTCTTTATTAGTTTTTTTCTACTATCAATCATTGTTTGTGGAAAAGTGCTATTTGATCTCATAACATTTTACAAACCCTAAATTGTATTTGACAAGAATTCCTCAATTATTTTATATATGATATATGGATTTACTGATATTGCAGGATACTGTGATGAACTGCATCCACCAAACATTATGGTAGTTTTGAACATGTAATTATTGAGGAAGATTACACAATTTAGTGAATAATGGAAGTAATTTCAGAGCTATTGGCTAGTGTTATACTCTTGGTGACAAGGGTTTTCACTATGATTAAGCTGGTATGTTTGTTTCCTATCAGAACTGGATTAATTGTGATTAACACTTGGACAGAGTTGTTTAGGAATGCAATAATCTTCAATGTGAACATAGTATTGAGATTTATCTCATGGATGTTTGGGCTTTTTGTTTTACCTGCAAGAGTTGTGAGTTCCATTGAAAGGGAGAGGCAGGTTAGTTTTTTTTCTATAATTGTATTTGTTTTGTTTATCTTGTGTACCCTTTACATAATACAATTCATTATGTCCTGAAATTTTATATGATCGACTGGAGTTACATAGACACCAGACACGATACCACACTGAAACAGACACCAGACACACCAGACACGATACTGAAAGAGTCTACTAATTTCTGTTAGTATCCTAACTAACAGAAACCTGTCCATTATTGGGTTTACCTGATATTATGCAGCTTGAACGAAAACTACGTCGAATGCAGACTGAGGTGGAGAATCTCGAGTGGAAACAGAAGAAACTTCAAGAACGGTTCCAACTGGCGGTCAAGGAATGCAAAATGATGGAGATGTTACTGGCAGAGCTTGAAGAAGAACATGATTTGACGATTGCCAAAATTGAAAACTTAGAGGGAAAGGTAAACAAATATTTTTTTTCTCCATGTGTCTGGAGCTAGTCCGTTGCTCGTTCTCTGGCAGCAACATTTATTTATATTTATGCATTCGTGATCTTCTTGACAGTTGAGGGATCAAATAAATGAAAATCGTCGGCTCAAAGAAACGCAAGGAAAAGGATACTGGAACTCGAAAAATCAAAACATTGACAATGATAGAAAGGTTGATGCTAGCATTTCTCCTCCTACCCTACCACGGAAGTCCAGTTATAGTGAAAGTGAAGTTTCTCTTCAGGAACTTCTCATGCGCAAAGATATTTGGAAAGACGAGAGCAAAGCTAGAACCGAGCTGCTGAAACTCCTGAAAACGGGACAAAAATCTGCGCCTGCTAAACCAGAACAAGTCTCAAAGGATGCAGTAGTAGAAATGAGTGAAGTAGTTGATCATCATCGAGAAGTTGCCATTTCACGATCAATTTTCAGCGCGATTTTGTCACTGATAGTTGGAGTGACTGTTTGGGAAGCTGATGATCCTTGCATGCCTCTAGTTATAGCTCTCTTTGCTGTAGTAGGCATGTCTTTGGTGAGTGTGGCGCAGTTTTTCTTCAGTATTAGAAATAAACCTGCTTCTGATGCTGTTGCTCTTTTAAGCTTCAATTGGTTCATTCTTGGTACTTTAACCTACCCTACACTACCAAGGGTGGCACCAATGTTGTTTGGTCTACTATCCTTAGTTTGAGATTGTTTTTGTTTCTGGTCTATGTTGTATTATGTGTAGTATAATGTGAATTATGAGTCTTTTTTTTTTGTGGTGTAAAAGTGTATCATTCATACTGCATGTAAAATATGAGAAGTATGTGTAATTTGGTTGTAAACAGTAAGAGATGGTTAATTTGTTTTTCTTTTCTTTTCCAGTTTTCAGTTCAATATTTTGAAGTTTGTATCCTCTCCATGAATAGGGTTGAGTTAATTTCAATTCAAAATCAATGATTTTATAAGTTTTTTTCGAGATCTCTTATGCTACCCAGTACATAATTTTCACCTTGGTTCAATTCAAATTTTAAGACAAATCAGATATGGACCTATTGAATAGATTCAAGCTCTGACCTCTTGCTACAAAGGCAATACATGATTTTGATCAATGTTTACATAGAATTTACAAATAGATAAATGAAATGATAAAATGGGAGGCTTAGAAACGAAGTTTGGGCTAAATATGCCTGGCAATTATAGTTCTGTCACTCAAAAGAAATATTAAATTATTTAGTAGTGGTAAATGGACATATCCATATTTTGTATAGCGCAGGCCTAAAAAAAAACGAAAAACTTGGTTGGACTCGTAACATCTGCATTTGCAAAGCGGGACTGATAGACATACTAGAGTGCAAGTTTCCACAAAAATGTATGGGCAAAAATAAATAAACATGTTCGATAAGTTGGACCCATTTGTCATCTCTATTTACACTATACACAACATTGTTCACTCACACAAACGAGGTGCAAGTTTAAAATTTTGATCCTTGGACAAAGACAAAAACAAACAAATCCAACATATCGGACCCTTTTGTCATTCCTATTTACACTGTACACAACACTATTTACTCATACAAAGACGATGAATAGAGTTTTTTAAACAAAAAAATATTCTAAGACTTTCTAAGAAAATCTATTAAGTAAGATGAAGATAAAACACGAGTGAAAAAAGAATTTGTTTATCAAATTTCATTAAAATCAATATATTTCGAAAGAGATAACAACTCTATAATTCACTATATTTTAAAAAATTGTTACAAGAGATTACAAATGAGTTACAAAAAAAATTACTTTTCAAATTAAAAAAAAAACTTTATTATTTATTTTAGTGTTTCTCAGTCTCTTTAACTGTGTTTTTAAATTACACAAACTCAATGCATTTAGAAGTGTTTCATAATATCCTTAAATATCTTCAAAGATCTGCCAAATTTTACGAATATAGTCTAAGAAATTTCTACCCTTATCTCTCTAATTGGAAAGACCATATTTTTTCCTATGTCTTTTTTATTTATGTTTCAAAGTGACAGAGATACACATTTATAGATATTGAAATCCAACAGATTTGAAACAGACTCAAAACACGATTCATCGTCAAACTAATATGCAAACAAAATCGATCTGGTTCAAGATCAGAGACTCTCTGAAACTACCATCATCGGCTTTGGTTCCACCTACGTCTATCAGAGATTTGCCTCTGCCATCAACTAGACTCCGACCACTGACTCTACTGATCGACTACCAGCCAAATCACCGCCTCATGGCTCTAGCATCACCAACCTGCGTCGTCAAAATTTCTACCAACTCGTGAGATCACCACCCCCATGGCATTAACATCGAACCAGTCGTTGACCGCATCAATCTTTTTTCCTCGGTCTCAAAAATATTATTTTTTTGCTCTATATCGCTTGAGATTTTATGACATAGTTATACGAGCGTTTCCCTTGAGTTTAAATCAATGATGATTTCAATTTACCCTCAAATACATTGCTTCTCTATTCAACTTGAATCATCATTCAACAATCTTGATCAAGTTCAATCTGCACTTAAATCTTGATTTTTCCACTTGCATCCTCTTACACCTGACATTTTTCCTGCTTATGTAATCTAACAAGTCCAAAAGTATGGTTATTCGACCATCTTTGACTTCTATTACTTTTGAATGTCTTCCTAAAGGTTCATGTTTGTGACTTTTGCAACTCTTCAGTTACATTCAAAGCATAACAACAAAGATCAACATAATTGTATCCTTGAGATGATACAACTAAAGTATCTAAAAGTGTATTTGTGTGAGTGAATATCTCTCAGCAAGTAACTTTTACACCAACCTTATCCTCAAAAACTCTCTACCAAATCATATCCTAGCATTATACTAGAAGCGGCCAAATGCATTTTTATCTCTTATCTCATGCAAACTCATTAAAGTTCTCTATAACATCATCTGAGAATCTATTGTACCTTGACCGCAAATCACATAGTTTGTTCTTGTCATGAAAGTCTTCACAAGTTAATGATGAATGATCAATAACATTGAAAATATCTAAATATATAACTCACATATTTTAGACACTTTAGTCATCGACCATATCAAATCTTCAATACCTCATATATTCAACTCATGTGTAATGTTCTAGATTATCAAAAGTAATATTTTCTTGGATACATCTGATAAAAGCAACTTAAGCCCATGACCCAAGCCTCTTCATTCTTCAAACTTTACACCACGAGTATACCATCATTCTCATAACTATACTTATTTGAAGCAATTGCAATCTAGACAGAATCGTCATTTCTCTTACTCAAGGGACATTCCCTTATAAAGTGACTGACTTTCTATTAAGTAAAGCACTTTACCTTTGATTTGTCAAACCTCTTTGATTTGGATAATCATCTACTTCACATTATCCTTTGGAGTTACTTAATCCTTCACCAATATCATCTATCTTTAAATCTTTCACTCTTTAAAATTTCTCAGATCTCACAACTGTTTGAACTTCATCCAAAGTAAGAGTACATTCTTTATTGTTTAAGTATACCTTAAAATCTTTGTTGATTAAGATAAATAAAATGTGTTTCAAGATTGCCAAAAATCAGAAAGCCAAAAAATAATCTGGTCTGAGCAATTTACGGGTATCAAGTTTGGTCAGTTCGGTTCATTGATCCATTCATCAATGTTAGAATATTTAATATTAATTTGGAGAACATATAAATTAATATAAAAATATATTAAAAGATATTTATAATATTCTAAAATATGTTATAAGATATATATTTATAATATTCTAAAAGATATTATAAAATATATATTAATAATAGTCTAAGAAATATTATAAGATATTTATAATATTTGAGAGATATTATAAGATTATACTAATATCTTTTATTCTAACAATAATGATATATGTTTTGAGATTTGTTATGGATTTGTTGAATTTTGACTATTATAAATATGTATCTCTTATGTTATTATGGTGAGACAATCTTAGAACTTACAACAATAAGGGAGAGCAAGGGTGGCATAGCATAGGATTTTGATTATTCTCAAGGGAAATCTTAGAAAGGCAAGGGTTTTGAAAACCTTTGGAGTTATCTAAGGTTATTGGGAATTGAGAAACACTTTTTACATCTTGAGTTTGAGTTATTCATATATTGAAGGTTGGAGAGGTTGAGAAACACTTGGGTAGAAAATAGGATAATTTATGGGCGCTTTCAGGGTTGTTCTTGGGAATCTGGAGGCGAAGTCTATTTTCTTGTAACTCGTATATAAATCTCCTGTAACAACTTTTTGAGTATAGGGAATTGGAGAGTTGCTCCCCCCTCCAGAGTAGATCGTTTGATCGAACTGGGTAAACAAATCTTCGTTTTTTTTCTCGCCTTATTCTGTTATATTATCTATCTATGAATTTTTATTTTTGTACATCATTTATTTTGGTTGCTACTATTCTTTGCCTCACAAATTGATATTGAATTTTGTCGTAATTCATAATGATATTCACAACAAGATTCATAACAAGTGGTGCAGTGAGCATGGAGCAAAGAGGTGTTATTTACAAGTGAGCACCATGGGCAGATGAGAGATCAAGAAATTTTTCATAAGCAATGACTTTGGGTTGTGGAAAATTAAGATACAAGAAATTTTAATTCAAGAGAAGTGTATTGGGGCTTTGAAGAGTGAAGCATTGATGCCTGCAGGACTTACACAGGTACATAAGACCGAGATGATGGATAAGGTCAGAAGTGTCATTATCTTGTGCCTCAGGGATAAAGTTCTAAGAGAGGTCTCTAGGGAGAAAACTGCGGTTGCTATGTGGGAAAAACTTAAATCATTATATATGATAAAGTCTTTGGCTCATAGTTTATTTCTGAAACAAAAACTCTATTTATTTTGAATGGTAGAGCATAAATCCATAGTTAAGCAGCTTACACAATTTCACAAGATTATTGATAATCTTAAGAATATTTAAGTGAAGATTGATTATGAGGACAAGGCTTTACTCCTGTTGAGTTTATTACCCAAATTTTTTTGGCACTTTAAGGATTCCCTTCTTTATAGTAAGGAAGGTACTATTACTTTGGATGAAGTCCAGACGGCGGTGAAATCCAAAGAAATTTTAAAGTTGAAAGATTTGAAGATTGGAGATAGTGGTGAAGGCTTAAATGTGTCAAGAGGAGGAGGTGATCATAAAGGGATGTCATTCTCAAAAAGGTTCGACAATTCACAGGTAAAATGTTTTAATTGTAATAAAATCGATCACTTTAAAAGGGATTATCCTGGGAGAAAGGTCAATGAAAATTCTATTCAAGCTACAGTTTCCTTGGGTGAGGAAAGTTACGAGGATGTCGATGTACTAGTAGTATCGAGTTTGGAAACTGAAGAAATTTGAGTCATTGACTCGGGTTTCTCTTATCACATGTGTCCAAGAATAGAATACTTTAAAACTTTGAAGATGGTTCAAGGTGGAGTTGTTCGCCTTGGTGATAATAAGGCTTGCAAGGTTCATGGCATTGGTACAATCAGACTTAAAATATTTAATGATTGTGAATTTCTTATTCACAATGTGAGGTATGTTCCAGAACTTAATCGAATTTTTTTATCTATAAGTATGTTTGATGATCTAGGCTATTGTACTAGAGTTGAACAAAGAGTGTTAAAGATTTCGCGTGATGAATTGATTATTGATAAAGGGTCTAAAATATGTGGTCTATATA